TTCATAAGCAATGCATGCTCTGTTGTCTTGGTGGTCACATGAAGACAAATTTCATGGGGGGGGGGGGTTCGGCTAAGGCAAAAACATGACTACATTCAACCTTTATAAAATAATCTTGCTTCTTGGAAAGATCAAGAAATAATTGTATTTCCCAAGTAGAAATCTGAGTCTTATCTGCCATTTAAAGGCAAAATTCACAAAGCCAGGTTGCTGACTTCAATAGAGGTCAATTTTTCATCAACCTGGTCTGTCAAATCCATTTTATTTCACAAATTGGACAGCTGCATCTGTGTGTTCTCTATCAGCCATAAGAAAATGGTTTTCCTTTGGTTGGTAGTATTCGGTTTTATTTTTGGATGTTTTCTCCTTTTATCCAGGGTGAGGAAAAATATCTTGACAGGATTCAATATTTTTGAAAGCATATGATATTTACAAAGGATAAGACCCAAATAAAACTTAGAACATTTTATAGACATTACTTCACGAACCTTAGAACTATCTTTGTAGCAAAACAGAGAAGCAAAGGACAAATATTTATTGAGGGCCTGCTTTATGCCAGGAACTGGACTGGGTAATTTATATAGGCCATCTCCTTTAGTCCTCACAAAAACCCTATGATATGGGGATTCTTATTTCCACTTTAAAGTTGAGAAATCTGCCAGGTGTAATGGCATACAAATGTAATCCCAGCTACTCAGGAGGCTGAGGCAAGAGGATCACCATGTTTGAGGCCAGCCTTAACAACTGAGACCCTCTCTAAAAATTTAAAAAATAAATAAATAAAGGGCTGGGGATATAGCCCGGTGGTTCATCCTTAGGTTTAATTCCCAGTGACATAATCAATCAATCAATCAAAAGAAATCTGAGCTAAAAGAAATCAGTATTTGGCCCAAAGTGACACAGAGGGTAAATGAAAGGGAATCTGGATTCAAACCTAGCTCTTAGGCTTCAAACCTCATGCCTTTAGTGGCTTACAATGAGAAAAAAAATGGAAACAACCTAAATGACAACACAGACATTGATTAGATAAAAATAGTAGATAATATGTCCACTGGTACAAAGCAGCCATGGCAAATGATAGCATAGATCTAATTTATTGACATGAAAAGATGTTCACAGGGCTGGGGATTTAGCTCAGTTGCCAGAGTGCTTGCCTCACATGCACAAGTCCCTGGGTTCGATCTCCAGCCCAATAACAAAAAAAAAAAAAAAAAAAGAAAAGAAAAAAGATGTTCACAGCATAACAAATAAAAAAGATTATAAAAGTAGAGCTTCTGATCCCCTTTAAGATCACATATATATTTTTATATGTATATAAATTATATATCTATACATATATATAATTTTATATGTATATTTGCATTTAAAAAGTTATCACTGGTGGTAGAATTTAACATTTGTTTTTCTTGGTTATCTATTGTTGGTCCATAAGAAGTTCATATTACCTGGATGGAATGATGAATGGAGAGATGGTTGGATGGATAGGTACACAGACTGATAGAGACATAAATAGATAGGGAATATACAAAGAGATAAAAAATTGAAAGATCCAGTGTTCAAGCAAAAGAAGCACATTTGATATTTGAAAAGTTCTATTTATGCACTTTAAGAATATCTAACCATCTGAACATACTTCTAAAGTTCAGAAAAAAAGATATATAGGTATCTATATCACTGTGCATAGATATTTATTTTCTCATGCACTATTTATAGCTATAAATGTACATAAATGTGCAGATATATGATGAGATAATATTTATACATTTATAGAAAATGAGAAATAACATGATAAAGCCAAGGTAGCAAAATCAGGGAATCTAGGTAAAGTAGGTATGGGAGTTCATTGTGCTATTTGTTCCAATTCTCTACATTTAAATTATCTCAAAGTAAAAAATTTGAAGAACTAATCATTGATATTTCAAACACACATATCTGAAACAAGATGATACCAATTTAAAAGAAACCCTATTCCATCATTTGCTCTCCTTTTTTTAATACTTGAAGCAAGAACCCTATGACCACTTGGTGAATTTGCCCATTATGATACTTGTCACAGAAGAACTTGGGATTTACTGAGTTGTGTATTCCCTAGAGCAAGGAAGTCTGCCACTTTGTTTCTCAAGACCAGAAGTATCTTGGTCACATAATTTGACAAATCTAGCACACATGAAGCCATGGACCAATATGAATCATAAACACAGACACAAATGTATAAAGCAAAAATAATAGCTTATTTAATTTTAGCAGTGTCTTAAAATAAACCATTCACAGGTAAGATTTATTTCAAAATTATAAGTTTAGTTCATCATGAGGAAATTTCCACCTGAGTCTCCCAATAAGTGTCAGTGGCATTCTTGGGCACAACATTTTTGCAAACTAGGAACAACAGAACAATAAAGAATAACTATCAGAAACTCTATGTGTGAGTGTGTGTACACTGATAGGAAATACTAGATGCATTCCTGCCTGTAGTAGGGACAAAAAAAATTACACACATTATCATTGCTATTATTCAACTCCATTCTGAAGACTCCAGCCAATAAAATGAGAGCAAAAGAGAAAGAGAGAAAATATGATTTATAATTATTTCTTAATTTTATGATTAGCTATCTAAAAAATCCCAAAGAAGCCACCAAAAAACTATACTTACTATGCATAAAATGGTTCTAATCATATTCAATATAGATATATTGAAGCTTTATATCAGACATAAGAGATTGTCAAACTTTGTCCTTAAAGGTCAGAGAGTAAATATTTTTGGCTTTGTGGGCCATGTGGTCTCGTACCAACTATTCAGTTTTACAATTATAGCACAAAAGAAACCATTCATTATGAATAAATGAATGAATGTGGCTGTGTTCTGATAAAACTTTATTTGTAAAAACAGGCAGTAGACTGGGTTTGGACTACCATTTGTAGTATGCTAAGCTCTATAACACCGCTACCAAAAAAAAAAAAAGGCTGATAAGGAAAGTTATTTAAAACAGCAAGGAAATATATAAAGCCCTGGAAATAAACTTTCTAAAGGACAATTTAACTATATGCATCAAAACCTAAATTATGAATACTCTTTCAACCCAATAATTCTTAGGGATATACTTAAAGAAGAATATAAAGATATGAACACAAAATGTTTATTACAGTATCATTTATAATAAGAAGAGAGAGTTATCTACTACACCATTCTTTTTTGGGGGGTGGGGGTACTGGGGAGTGAATCCAGGGGCACTTAACCACTGAGCCACATCCCCAGTCCTTTTTTGTATTTTATTTAGAGACAGCATCTTATTGAGTTGCTTAGCATCTCCCTGTGGCTGAGGCTAGCTTTGAACTCACAATCCTCCTGCCTCAGCCTCCTGAGCCTCTGGGATTGCCAGCATGTGCCACCACAACTAGCTGACACCATCCACTTTTAAAATAGGTTACAGAGTAATATATATATAATGTCAGCTAATTTTTAAAATAAATGGCTTTGCATATGAGGTCACGCAATATGAACCCATATACGTAAAACTATACCAAATTTGCTTTATTAGCAGTAGTTTCTAGAAGTAGATTTATGGGCAACATTCTTTCTACTTTTATATCAAGACAACCCCAGAAAGTTCTTTTATTATAAATACTTCACATCCTAAGGATATAAATCTTTCAGTTATAACTAATGTAAAAGAAGCATCTATCTAGAACTCTTATATTTTTTCTATCCTTCAGTGATATTCCCACATGTATGATTGTGTGTATGTGTATGAATATGGGCTTCACATATGAATACACACCTACCAAGGAAGAAATGCCAGGGAAGAGAAATAGAAAATGGACAATAATGGTAGATGAAGGATCAACATTAATTAATGTCCCACAGGGTAATAAATATTAGTCTATAAATTCACTCTTGAAGATCTTATTTATGGTTCTATGATACAGGAATATCATCTTTTAGGATAGAGGAAAATCCTAACATTCTTGCAAATTCTCATTCAAAATTTACCAGATTAAATTTGAGCCTCCTAATAGAAAATAAAAGTCCATGTGATTTATATATAGTTGTGAAATTTAATGATATTTTCTTTACAATTGCTGAGCAGTGTCTAATCATTCTGCCAATAGTTTTATGTGTTAAGTTTATATAAATTGATATTTAATTTTTATGTACTTAAAAATCTTGAAAAAATGGAGATGGGAAAGAAAGAAAATTACAATTCTTACCACTTCTCAGTAATTCTATGTAGGTGTTACTGAACACTAGTTACATGGCATTACTTGCGGTTGTCAAAAAGAAAACAAACACTATTTTTGCCTTCTGATAATAATTACCTTATCTGGCTTTGAAATCTTCCTAATTCTCTCATGAGGTGTCTTTCTCCAACAGCTTAGCATAAAAATTAGACCCAATGCAAACATAATATCCTTCTGTAACAGACATTTCTACAAGGACATATGAAATAAATATATATAAGCACATGTGAGTATGTGTGTGTGAGCCTGTCATTGCTAAAAAAGGCCATGAGAGAAAAGTGAGTCTCCCTAGAGCCAACTAAGTTAACAAGAACAATATGACAACCACAGGTCATCCAAAGTTCTCAAAAGTGATGGCAAAAGACAACAAGGTGTTAAGTACATTTTATAAGCCATGAAAATCCAGGACACAATAAGCAAGAAATGAAGTTTACCCTGAACACAACAGACAAATAAGTATATTGATATAACATAATTTTCATTAACTATTCCTTTACTCACAGCCTCCATCAAATGTTATTTAGAATTTACTATGGCAGTAGAATTTACTATTGCATTATCAAGTATGAACATAACAACCTATATTAGGCTTATGTTGAAATGTGAGAGACTGGAATTCTGCAAACTTTCAATTTCCCATTTAAAAAATCTTGGAAATGAATTTCCTATAGTTAAAAGTGAGTAGTTATGCTTCAAATCCCAAACTATGCTTTTCTTCTCAAATATTGCTCTCTATATATCACCAAACTCCAGTAGAAACTCACCCTTCAACTTGAGGTCAACATTATGTCTCAGCCAAGGATAAACCCCATAGCTTGGCATATCTTCAGGAATTGGATTATTGTTTATCCAGCCATCGCAAGCAAACCGGAAGAAATTATCACAAGGGTCCACAGACAGATTTACTTTACTCAAGATGGCAGCGGCTATTTAAAAAGAAAATCACAGGATTAATGACAAGCACTGAACATTGTGTACTGTTCTTTTCCAAATTAAACAACAATTTCATATCAACCAGTTCCCAAGCCTTGGCTCTATGTTCCTCCTCACATGACTCTCTGGATCAACATCACTATATGAAATGACCACATTCAGAGTGAGTAGGTAAAAGTTCCATTATATGTTATTGGTCTTGCAGGATTATTCCTAACATCTGTGGGGTGTCAGACCAGAATACATATGGAGTATGTGGTAGACTTTTGGCAAAGATAACACTTTCTTCCATTCCACATGTCTGTCTGCAAAGCCACCTTGTTACTCTTACCATAAAGCAATAGGGTCTATTTCCCCTGCTTTGAATCTGGGCTGGTTTTACCACTGGCTTTGGCAAACAATTGGCATAAATTACTTTTTGTGAGTTTCAAAGCTAGGCCTTAAAAGGTCTTGCACTTTCCAAACACTCCCTTTCAAATGGAGCCTCGAGGCTATCCTTTGAAGAAGTCTCCTGTAGACCAAGAGGCCACACAGAGAAGAACCAAGCCAACACCAGCTGCCATACATGTGACAAAGGCCATCAGGGACCTTCCAGCCTAAATGAACTCCCAGAGCCTATGCAATACCAGAACCATCTACCAAACCCAGAGACCCATGAGAAATATTAAATCATTCTTGTCTCAGGCCTCCAAAGTTTGAGGTGGTTTGTTCCACAGCAAAGGGTAACTGAAACAGAGACCCACATGTCATCTACCTACATATTTAAAAAAAAAGTTTTTTAGTTGCTGATGTACCTTTATTTTTTATTTATTTATATGTGGTGCTGAGGATTGAACCTAGAGCCTCACATATGCTAGGCAAGTGCCCTGCCACTGAGCCACAACCCAAGCCCCTACCTACATATTTTAAACACATACTTGCAATATTCCTTCATAAAAACCAGGAAGGCCAGTATAAATTCTTCAGCCCCTTGACATCCAGTGTAGGTCTCAGAGGAAGGGAGCCCTGAAAGAAACCCACACAGGCCCTGAAAGGAAACTTGGGGCCATTTGGCAGGCAATTCTGGGGTGTAGGAGGGAGCTGCAGACTTGGCCCCACAGGCTCCTTGACTGGGCTGGGGGAGAGGAATGGCCACAGAAGGACCAAAATGAAGTATTCTAAATAAGGGGCCCAGGTATGGGGTAGAATTGAGTATTCATATGAGTTAACAGAAAGATACAATACACTAATCTACCCTGTCTTTCCTTTTATAAGCCCAAACACAATTATATGTGGACCATAGTTCATAGATAGGAAATTTTTACATAAATATGTATCCATAAATTTTGAAAGAAAATCTTCTATCACAAAATGAAAAGGTTCTAAATTTTCTAATATTGACCTCCAATTCTCTTCCAACTGCCATACAATTGCTGGCTACCACTCTGGCACAAAGATATGCACCAACTGATTTAAAAAACAGCAGCCAATATTTTAATAACATTGGAAGAAAGACATTCTGAGCGATTTTCATACCTTAATTAATGCAAGAATATATTTCTCTTTGAAGTAATGAAAATCCGATGACTTTTCAGCTAGATGAGAATGAACTGCCCCCAAAAGTATAATATGCAGGGCTGGGGTTGTGACTCAGTGGTAGAGGGCTTGCCTCACACTTGTGAAGCACTGGGTTCCATCCTCAGCACCACATAAAAAAAATAAATATCAGGTTGGAGTTGTGGCTCAGTGGTAGAGGGCTTGCCTTGCATGTGTGAAGCCCTGGGTTCAATCCTCAGCACCACACAAAAATAAATTAATTAAATAAAGATGTAGTGTCCGTCTACAACTAAAAAAAAATGTTTAAAAAAATTTGAGCTTTTAAAAAATAAATAAATAAGGGTATTGTGTCCATCTACAACTAAAAATTTTTAACAAAAAGTACAATCTGCATAAATAAATAAAGATATTATGTCCATCTACAACTAAAAAAAGTTTAAAAAAATAAAGCTAGATATTTCTCTATACTACACTGTGAAAATTTCAAACAGCCCTTGTCCTCATTGAAGTGAATAATCAACAAACATCCTAATTTCTAGAGGACTTCAAAATCCCTGCTGCTTTCAACCCCCCTCCCCAAAATAACCAACCAGCAAAAACTTGGTTTACCAGTTCAACAGATTTTAAATTGACTTAATATTTTTGTTTTTCAGAATGAACTCAGTTGTATTTAATTACATGTATGCTTACTGCTACTGTTTTATCATTACCATTTAATATGCAACCATGCTAGGACATATAAAGTCTTCCTTCCATTTTATATTTATAGTCTGTGCAGCCCCAGAATGAATCTGCAATGTGACACCTCAGGGATACGGTTCACACAAGTCTCAGTCCCACACAATATTTACAGTCACACAGGGGAGCCCTCACACGAATTTTTATTCACATAAGCTCACTGTTTTCTGGCTTCCTTCCCAAACTTCCCTTCCCCCAACCCTCAAATACATCCTCTCCATCTCCTCAGTTTGCTAGCAGGTACCTACAAAAACTGCAAGGTCAGCTCTGACCTCGGCCCTGATGCTAAAGTAGGGGAATACATCACTTGCATGAATTTGGAAAGGAGCCCTCTGAGTGAGAAAACTCTTCCCTCTGCCTTGCAATTCATCATTCACAATTCACAGCTGGGCACAAGGCTGTGCTTTCTGCAGGAGAACTGTGACTTCAAATCACGAGGGACCATACTTGTCAAGACACCAAACTCCTTTCCCCCTACTCAGCTCCATAGAGAAAACCCAGAGAATCTTGTTTTAATAAAAGAAATATGATGATGAAGGAAACCTGTGAAAGCTCAGGCTGTGTATTCTCTCAAGTCATTGCAGATGAAGTTAATTGGTAGGCAGTCTCCAGCTAGTTTATGGAGTACAGATGGAGGCATCTTGCCATATACCAATATGAGTTTTTAGGTTTAGTCAGGGCTCAGGGGAGAGTCTTATTAAGGGCCTCAACCTCATTATTTATATAAAATAATAAAATCACTAACATTCAGTATTTCTGCTATGCCAGGAACTATATGCTAAGCCCCTTCCAAGCAATATAGCATCATCATAAACTCTGGAGTCAGACCACTTGGGTCAGAGGAACAGCAACAGTGTGCAATAGCTGTACAACCTGGGAAGATTACTTAACCTTCATGTATCTTAATTTCCTCATCTGTAAAATGAGGATAATAATAATAACAACACCATATAGGATCACCATGCTAATTAAATGAGTAAATATATGCAAATTGCTTATAACAGTGTCAGGCACATTGCCATATAACTATGGTCAGCAGATAAAATACAAGGTGCCCAGTAAAATTTGAATTTCAGATAAAAAAAAAACTACTTTTAGAATAAGGTTAATTATTAAAATAAGTATATTTAAAATATTACGTGGGACATATTTATACAAAAATATTGTCAACACAATATATCTGCAATTCAACTTAACTGAGCATCCTCCTGTATGTATATATTTAGCTAAATATGGGAAGCATACATGTAAACATTTGCTATTATAATTCCATAAACACTTATCTGGAACTCTGAAGTTAGATTTTCAGAACTCACAGATTTTTCAGATTTTGAAAAAGAAATAGTGTATAACCACATATGATATCATAACTCAGAAATGTCTGGAGTGGACCCCTAAAGCAAGCACTTAATATTTCTATGGGGAACATAGAAATGCTACTTATGTTCTCTTAAGTATGATCGATAAAGCCTAAAATGACCTCACATGAGTTAAGATCCACTTTATCCATCATAGGAATTGAGGTCACGTTTGCTCTGGCCACCTGGGAATTGCAATACTTTCTGGGATTGCATATTGTGGACCTGGATTACTAGTACCATTATTATTTTGTTTTATTCTCACAACTAGTATGATAAGTTAAAACCTGTTATCCTCATCTCATAGATGGTAAAACTGCCACTTAGGATGGTTAAATATTTAACCCAGGATCACATGGCTTATATGTGACCATAACAGGCTTCAAACACAAGTGAAAGGCTTGTCCACCTTTATCCACTATCATTAGCATGACCTTTCCTTGTTTCTTTATATTCTTTCTACAGCTCTCATTTTGAAAGAGGGATCAGAAGAAGTGAACAAGGAGAGAGGAAAGAAAAGTTACAGGGAGGCTGAATCTCAGAAATTGTTGGCGTGTGTTCAGAAGTGGAACAGAAGGTGATCAAAAACATCCATCTCCTGAACTTTTATTATGTGGATTTGTGCCCATATACCCTCATCTTCATACCAGCTCTTGTGTAAGATCATGGCTTATACAATTCTCCTACCACATCTATTCGAGCTGTTCTATAGACCCCTGGACAAAATGAAGCTCATGTCCCATCAAAGAGGACTGTATTTTTTGTGACCCTTTCACAACTGAACAGCAAAATCAATATTTTTCTTTTTTTTAATAATTTTTATGTAAATCAGTGGATGTGTAACCGATGTGATTCTGCAATCTGTATACGGGGTAAAAATGGGAGTTCATAACCCACTTGAATCAAAATGTGAAATATGATATATCAAGAACTATGTAATGTTTTGAAAAACCAATATTTTTCAACATTAGAAAGCCATTTTACAAAACAAAAATTAAAAACAGGAAAAACATACTAGATGGCAGAAAGCAACATTATCAGAAAGCAGTCTTTAGGTTTAACTCTGGCATTGTTATGATTTGTAATAAGCAAAATTCATGCAGTAAGTGACCTTCCATACCAAAAGTTGTCTAAACTCAAATTGAAGATTCTGAGTTTTATAAATTTCAAATTCTCCTAGCCATAAGAACCCTAACCACAGCGAAAGTACCAGATGATGAAATTTTAAACCTGTTCTCTGTGCCACCTATTCCCTCACCCTACTCTATGACATCCTCTCTCCACTGGAGAAGGCCCCAGGTCAACTGCTCAAGTTGGAAATTCCCACATCATTCAAGAAGAAAAAGAATCACCCTTTGAGGGATGATATCAAGAAGCTGAAATAGTTTAGTCACTAGACTCTAGGAAGTCTAGTGGGTGGCAGGGTGGAGATGAAGGACTAAGGGGATCAGAAACACAGAGTTACTTGGCATGCTACCAGAGCACCAAGGAAAAGATGGAAAGGATCCAGACATGGAGGTAAAGCCAAACTCTGCAATTGGCTCAGGATAGGACCGTGGGAAAGTTAATTAGCCTCTAGAAGCCTACATTCCTTTATCTGTCTGTGGGACTTGCAATGGTACTAAGTTCATAATGTTCTTCTGGAGGTTTTATGAGATGAGGTATGTAAGTCACCCAACATGTTGCCTGGTTAAAAATATGTATTGATCACTTAAATGGGACAAGAAATTAATTTTAAAAAGTAACTATGGGTAAATGGCAGAAAGATCAGTAGAGGGAAGGAAACAGGGAGTGGGGAAAAGGGAGGGGAAGGACAGGTACTAGGGACTGAATTAGAACAAAATATATTCCATGCTTTTATAATTATGTCAAAATGGGTTCTACTGTCATATATAACCAAAAAGAACCAATAAATTTTTAAAAAATAATGGGACAAGAAACCCTTCAATAACATAATAACCTAATTCATGACCTTTGTCTAAGTTCTCAGAGTTTATAAGCCCTTTCACCTAAGCCTTTCCTATCTCAATTTATGCCACCAATCAACATCTAAGCATCACGCCGAGTCTCTTTTTCTCAAAGCGCATATCAAATCCTTCAGCATCCTTCTGCAAGCTTTCTAGCTCCTAAGCCTTCTGCATTCTCAATTTCTTGAGTTCTCACCTGCTCCACTGAAATAACTTAATCTCTGAGTGACCCTCCTTCCCTGTCCCCTACTGCTAGACTGAGAATTGAACCCAGAGTCTTCTACATGCTAGACAAGTACTCCACCACTGAGCTGTACCCATGGCCCTTTTTAATTTGAAACAGGATCTTGTTAAATTGCTGAGGCTGGCCTCAAACTTGCAATCTTCCTGCCTCAGTCTCCCAAGTACCTGGGATTACAGGCCTGTGCTACTGTGCCCCACAACCTTCCCCCATTCTTGCTTCCCTACTTGACTTCTCCACACAGAAAGATTTCCCTAAATCTAGTTCTCCACCAAAAAAGATCTTTTAAAAGGCTCATAAGGTGTACTCTTTCTTCTCAAAACCCATCAGAGGTTCTTGTGTATGCTTAAGAAAAATCTAAACTCATGGCAGCTAGTCTGCCCATTCACTCCCTTTTCCTGCATGGTGCCCCTTACCCAGCAAATTCTGCCTGACCCTCAAGCCACACAAGCTCATTCTTCTGTGGGACCTTTGCCCCACCTGGAAAGCCCTTGCCTCAATCTTCACAAATTAATTCCTTTCTCATTGTTCAGGGTCCCCTTCATGTCCTCAGACTTTTCAATCTAGCCATCCTGTAACTTTATCACATTATTCTGTTTAAATATTTTAATTTTCTGCATATACTCCTAGCTGATATTTTTCCTGTGCATTGATTGCCTCACGTGTCTTTGATTGTCTGGTTCATTGATATATTCCCAAAACATAACTCAGTCCCTGGCTTGAGGAAATATTTGGTGAATTCATGTGTTAATCTTATCTCTTAAGGTCAAGTGGAATAGACCAAATGCTTAATGTGATCTCTATGCTATGACTTTCCCTTTGGAAAATGCCATTGGGGCCCTTCCCACTTAAAGAATGGAGGTAGGGGCTGGAATCCATGGAGGTAGGAGCTGGAATCCAGCTCCTGCAAGGTCCTCACACTGATTTGTGGGGGGAGGGCAGAATCTAATTGCTAAGGCAACTTTAAGCACAAAGTTTCACTTTGGGTCAACCACTGATACGTGGTCTGATCATCTCAAGAGAAGTTTGACTTGCAACATGGAATAGAAGAACCCAAAGGGACTCCCAGCAACAATGGAAGCATGGATTTACAAAGGACTCCTGCTTAGAGGCAGACAGGTTAGAGCCTCTGACCAGAAGATACACAAAGACTGCTTATGATAAACAGGAATCTTCAGCCAGCTGAGCCATAGAATGCCTATGGTCTCTGCCTGCTATGGTCTCTGTCTTAAGAGAGGCCCTGCAACCTTCCAAGCCCCTTCCTGAGTTCCTTATCACAAGGCTTGGAATATCACACTGCTTGATTATTGCAAGAAAACAGGAAACCCAAACTCCACTACTTCACACCAAAACTTGAAAGTAAACTTAAATTTCTTTAAAATTGCATTTCGTATTTGGTAAACCTCAAGCAAACAGAATACTAAAAATACCACCTGTTTTCTCGTCTACTCCCCAAGGTACCATAATTATAACTTGACACAGGGTGGAAAATGGAACTTACCGGCTTCGATGCACTCTGGCTTCAGGCAGTACTCCTGTTTAGCTTGGAAATTTAAGAGACCTTGACTCACTGAAAAAACAGACCAAAATAAATGACAGACTTGTAGCAGACCACCATCAGGTAAACCACCATCAGGCACATATGCAAGACATTTGATATCAGTTCATTCTTCTCAGTATTGACATGGTATTCAAAACTCCATTGGCTCAACCCCTCAGAACCACGCTGTACGCTACCTAAGTAGCCTTGGTAAGATTCTCAGTTGCTCTGAAATTCAGTTTTTGTCATATGTAAATCAAGTGAGTGAGTATGAACAGACTGAGAGTCTGCTCCCCAGAGCAGCAGAAGCACCTGGAAGCTTGTTAGAGGTGCACATTTTCAGCCCCACTCCAGACTTTCTGACTCTATATGTGGGGTTTTGTTTTGTTTTCTTTTGTTTTGTTTTGGCAGGGTTGGTTTGGGTGCTGGAGATTGAAGCCTGGGCCTCAGTACGTGCTAAGAAGGCACTCTAGCGCTGAGCTCCTTCCCCAGATGGCCATCTGTGTTTCATCAAGCCTTGCAGGTGATGCTAATGTGAGAGCCAGTGTTAGATGATCTTTAAAGTGTCTTCCATCTCCAATTATCTGTAGTTTGTCTCACACTTTCACTCTTTAAGTTTATAACGACATCTCCGTCTTAGAGATGGAAAAATTGAAACTTTTAAACTATGCCATTGTAAGCAACTCCAGAGTGGAAGGAGAAAATTAGCATATGTGGCATTTAGAGTTTGGGATCTTATCTAAACCATCCATAAAGAGGGAGAAAAGAAATAAAACCATGGGCATATAACTCAAATCATCTGGTAACAGTCATTTTCTGCCTGCACCACATACTTTTCCTCCCACCAGGCCCAGCCTAGCTACCAGACATATGCACCTGTGAGAACCAAGATTCCAGCTATTTCCACTCTTCCCTTCCACCCTACCTCAAAAAACAAAACCAGGGATGGCCCTGGACTTGATCCTCAGCACCACATTAAAAAAAATAATAAAACTGTACAATTAAAATAGCTTTCACCAGTGCCTTACTTCCCTCATTTGGCTGGCCACATTATTCAAATGGATTTCAGCACAAATACTGAAGGATACCACGTTTGTGAACTCTAGACAGAACCTTTTTCTGGGCATTAACAGATGTGACTTAGGGATTTCAAAAATATTTGAAATATGTTCCTCGGTTGCTGGGGAAGATATATGGAATTCGTTATTGCTGTTTTCTGTGAGCAGAAACAAGGAGTTGTTTGAAGATGAGGCCATGGGGAGATGAACCATGGTGTGAACAAGGACTGAGGCCCTTCATGGCATCCTCAACAGAGAAGCAGAATCAGAGAACTTGGTGGCACTAATACTTATGTTTCTGGAAGCAATGGAAGACCTGAAGATCACCTGCCAGTGTGGCAGTTTTATTATTTATTACCCAACATTCTAAGAGGAGTCTGTTTTTCCTTTGTTCTTTTCTCTGCTGCCATCCTGCAAACAGCCTTTTTACCTGTGTTATATAATAAATTCAAGGAAACTGTCTACAGTACATCTCAAGCCTATTTTTAAGAAAAGAATTTTCTTAGCATTAAGGTGTGTTTTGATTTCTTTAAAAGAAAAAAAAGTTAGGTTAAAAATATATACAGTCAGCATAAAGATTGGTGTGGAATATTCCAATATGCTTGGGTGGTAAAACCATGGGCATAGTTTTTCCCTCAGTCTACTTTGATAAGTTTACCAAATGTTTTTTTTTTACTAAGCATGTATTATTTCTTATAATTAAAAAAAAATAAACTTTACTATAAATAATATTTTATTATCCTACACAATAACTTCTTGATACTGGCATTTTTTCATAAAAAGCTAATGAAATGGTTAAAGACTTAGTCCTTTCATAAAAATTAATTCTTGACAAAAACTCTCTAAGCATGCAGAACTAAAATCAGTTATCTTTTGCTGAGGAAGAGTAGAAGAAAGGTTTTTAGTATAATTAATTGGGACACAGACCTAAGCCTTCAAGCAAGAGCAGTATATCCATGGGGGGTTATTTTAAGATCCTGAAAATAAAGGATCTTAAGGATCAATGAGCCCAGGTAAGATAAAGGTGTCAGTGAATGAAATATAAACAATAAAGCTAATATTTTTAATATAAAAAATTTAAATGTTACTTTTTACTGGTTAGGAGCTTTAAAAAAAAAACTTATGTAGCAATTTGGTTTCTCACTTCAATTTCTCTATAACCATTAGAAATGCCTTCAGAATCCAGTGGAGTCACACACATATCAAGAGTATGACAGATCAAGAGTATGAGAAAGGACATAGAGCAGAGGTCAGCCAACTATTGCCCACAGGCTAGATCCAACCCACTGCCTGTGACTGTTTCTATGAATGCTTTTGACATTTTTAATGATTGGAAAAAATACAAAATAATAATAATAATTCATGATGCATGAAAAATATATGAAATTCAAGTTTCAGTGTCAAGAAATCAAATCCTACTGCACCAAACTGTGCTCATTTGTGTGTATATTGTCTATGTATATTTTTGAGCTACATCAACAGAGCTGAGCACAGCAACAAGGACTGTATGTATGGCTCATAAAGTTGAAACTATTTACTATCTGGCCTTGACAGAAAAAGTTTGCTGATCATTGCATCTGATAAACAGACTGTGAGAAGGGGAAGGGAAGAAGAAAGAACACTTTAAAATAAACTGGCTAGGGCTGGGTTTGTGGCTCAGTGGTAGAGCACTTGCATCACATGTGTGAAGCACTGGGTTTGATTTTCAGCACCGCCTATAAATAGATAAAATAAAGGTCAGTTGACAATTTAAAAATATATATTAAAAAAAATAAAATAAAAAACTGGCTAAAGGTGTATACCTGATGTTTTAATTTCTAGTGCTTTCACTTTTCTGAAATCACCCTAAGGCCACCAGCAATCACTTACTATAGAAGCATAAAGGTTTAGAAGAGAGATTATCCCAGAGCCTCAAAGACAAAGACGAGGTAAGGAAGGGTTCTGAAAATGCAGGCATGTGACTGAACTTGGACAGACAGAAAAATACACTGCAAAGTTAACCGGGAAGTACTGTGAAGCATATTGTCATGAAGAGCATTGCCTGGAAGGTCCCTAGAGATTTTCAGAAAGGATTTTGCTAGATGCAGGGTGGAGATGGGTAGCAGAGCCTGAGAGACAGGCATTGAAAAAAAACATGGTAGGAAGAGGGTGAGTCTGTCATAGTGCTGAAATGTTTAACAAAACATAAGGACCCCTGAATTTATATGCCCAAATGGAAGTGGTATCCTGAAGCAATGCTTCTCAAACTTGCATTTGAAAATAAATCCCCTGGGGTCTTGTGAAAATGCAGACTGTGAATCAGTAGATCTGGAGTGGAACTCAGCTTCCAAGTGATGCTAATGCTGCTGGTCCAGGGACCACACTTTGAGCAATGAGTGTACTGAGGCTACACCATTAGTTTGCACTTATTCTCCAACACCATTAGAGCCTCTCCTAGACACTAGAGGTGAGAGCTGGGTTGCTGGGCATATTGGATAGTTATCTTCTATTTTATACAGGCCTCCTTGTCCATAATAGCATTGACTGACTTGGTGATTTTACTTTGCTCCAAAAACATCATCTAAAAATGATGCCAAATAATCACTTTCTCTCAAAGGACAAAGACTGCCATAGAGAATCTTCCAATTAATATGCCACAGCCTCAGAATGTAATAATCACAAAAGTAGAGTTTGGAAAAAGTTTCAAGCAGTGGTAACATTTAAAAGAGTACATATTTTTACACACATGATAATCATTTGAATTTTGATGTCTGGAAGTGTTTGCAAACCTAACCTTGTAGTAGACACTTCCCACTTAGTGTGTAGTCCCTTGGTATGCCCATAGAATTTCTCCCCCAGTTTTGAATTTCAGGAGAGGATGTTCATCTAAACCCCAAGTGTTGAGAAATCTCACAGCAGTTTTCAAGAGCCACAGATTCAGTTGCAGGAACAGGAGATTTAACTTCACCAGAAAGCAATAAATTCATCTAATTTCCTAAATCTCCAGCCACAGAAAACATGGAAAGATGGTTTTCTCATTTTAGCAGAGTTCTCAACCACACAACCCTAACTCTTTTCAAGTTTAATTACTGGTTTTCCCCTGCCAAAATAAACATGGTCTCCTTCATCATGTATATGCCAAGGAATGCTTCCAGGCTTGCTGCATTTCAAAGTGTACCTAGAATCTCCCAAGAATGGGAGTTGTTCCTTCATAACTCTCAAGCTAATGAAATATTATGGGCTGTTTGAGAAAAAATGGTAATAGCCAAAGTTTCCAAAAGCCTAAAATTTTAGGACATCCCTCACACCTTACCAAGATGTCTGACTCTTTGTCATAGGGATACACTTGGATCATCTCATAGACTCACACATCATTTTTACCATGAGTCATTAAAATAATTGAATCACACAATACCTTTCAAATCTTGAAAGAAAACTTCTGTTTTCCTTCATGTTAATTTTTAAATCTATTAGAAAGGCTGAGTTTACATTGCATCCCATCAAGTCACTTGATTAGAAAGGACTTGAAGAATACCATTAAAGGTGCATTGAAAGGACTGATTTGTATTTTGTGAATTAAGTTTTGTGATTCGCCCAGGCAAATATAACCAAAGTCAAATGAAAAGAAATTCCAGCATGGTTTCGATCATCATATAAAAAGTTTTCCTCACAGCATAAATGAAAGTATGACTATGAATTTATAAACACTCAATTTTCAAAATGTAATTCATGAATATTCTTTTCTCAGTGCAACAGAATCCCGTAGTCACTCCAAACAACTTTATACCCATGTTCCCTTCTAGACTATACATTTGCTACTAAAGAATAGCCTTCTTGGGGCTGGGGCTGTAGCTCAGTGGTAGAGTGCTTGCCTTGCACAGGTGAGGCCCTGGGTTTGAACCTTAGCACCACATAAAAATAAACAAATAAAATAAAGGCATTCTGTACAACTACAAAAAAATTTTTCAAGAAAAAACAGCCTTCTTTTACATATGCATGTTTGATAGAAACTGAGACTATACTGCCTATTAACACAAGCAAACAGCTGTACACCTGTATTATGGCAAGGTTTGCCAGAATAAAGCATGAGGAAAGTTCTTGGCATGTACCCAGTTCCCCTGGCCTCCAGCGCTCCACTTACCTAGAAAGAGGATGGTGCCCAGCACCACAGTGCCACCGATAAACACAGCCAGGGCGACTTGAGTGCCTCTGTTGGCCCCCTTTCTAGCCTCTCTGCTGCTCCCCGTTTCTGCTTCCATCAGAAAGACCGTAGAGAACACTCAGGAAGAAAGTCACTTTTCGTGGTTTGGTAGCTGGTCTCAAGAGTTTGTTAGGCGTTGACATCCAAGGCTCTCTTGCTTTTCTACTAATGGACAGCTTAAAAAATTCACGTCAGGAAACCTTCCCTCACTACCCTTTCTCAAATAATCCTTCACAAATGAAATAAAAGAAACTCAAAATATTGGTTGCCTTGGCTTTCCCCCTGACTAGACAAAACAAACAGTGGTTGCTTTATCTTGGTGCTCTCCCTCAGCAAAGTCCCTCTCAACCGGTTGTTTGGCAGGCTCTTCTCTCAGGCGTTCTGAGTATACATGTTTTACTATGTTGCTGAACAGATGTTTTAGCTATTTAAATGTATAGTCACTTGGGGAGGAAAAAAAAAACAATTGTCTTTATCAAAACTGGATTCTCGTCAACCTCCCCCCAACCATGATAAGTTAGGTGACGAGGACTCTCCGGACCTACTTCAAGATCTCAGTTAATCATGTAATTCTGCTGCAATAATCATTCTGCTCGCCTGAATTGTCCTCATCAAAGATATTCTTTCAGTGTGTGAGTCCCTTTTTAAAGCCTTCTAAGAGTTCCTAGGATATCCTGGAGCATTTTATTTTAGGAACTTTGTGTATGATAGCATGTGCCAAAAATCAGAGTCATAGTCCAGTGCAGTGCAAAGTAGCAATTAAGACAACCTACAGAGGCTGATGGTTTGGACTGGAACTTTTTTTAAGGAAGAAGAAAGAGCATTTCCTCTTTGTGGTGCTAAGAATTGTACAAATGACAGTTAAGTATATGAATTAAGCTTATTAGCAACCACAAAAGAGACAGTGAAGGGTTTTTTCCCCTGGATGTTTTGGTGAAAACTGCACCCATGTATTTTGTCCTCTGGTTCCCCTGAGGCAGTCATTGGTTAGTATGTTTTTGCATTTCCATATAGTGTTTATTTCAGCAGATTCTCCAGATTGAATTTGAAGGTATTTGGCTTCACTGGAAAGATTGATAAATGACGGGGTCTTTAATTTTTTGATGAAAATTATTTAAATTATCAAAATTTGCTTGCTTTATTGGGGCAGGGCAACCCCTACTCCAATTCTAGTGAAATTATATAAATGTTATTCTCTAATGATATAGATATCATTAAGTCATAACATAATTACCACTTACCTGTTTCTGTTTTGCTGGAGATCATAATGCAGTAGGAGTCAGGGTGAAGGATTCAGCTACCTCCCAAACCAGGAAAGTAAAACTTGTACATTTGGCTTTGGGAGTCTCCCCAGAGTTCAGAAGGTGCCAATGAGCTCAGTATAACATGATCACTTGTTCACACTCCTATCTGGCTAAGCTTAGTCAGGACATAAGCCCACAGCATGGAATTCTCCCGTGTTTTAGAACTTCTTCCATAACACATCCTACCCTATTTTCTGTTCATTTCATGTTATCCCCAAATCAGAAGATCATAAATCTGTGTCCAGTTTATGACATCATCATATGCTGTTACTCTTATATGCTCATTGGCTATTAATGTTATTTTGTGGCTGTTATTCAATAACACAGTCTAACAGGTCTTTTGTCCCTAGAATGGGATTCTCCCAAAAGTATCTGGACTTGACTTCATAATACATCTTGAACCATGAGCTCCTTGAGGTTAAGGAACATGTCTGTTTCATTCAGTACAGCCCCAGCATCAAGAGTTCCTGGCCCATCACAATGAAAGGGGAAATAAAAGAAATGAAAATCATTCAAGTTAGCCCTAGACACTTGCTCTTATGAAGCAGCTTCAGGAACTTCAGACATTTGTTCCTGACAGGGCAGGGGTGGGAAGCATACAGCCTCTAGATTCCTTCTAAATGCTCAGCTGATAATGATACTTCACGTGGGGATAGTACATAGTAAGCTAGTGGTAAACCTGTATACTTGATAGCAAAGGCATTTTAATCTCTGTTTTACAAATGAAGAGACTAAGAGCAAGGAATGGCTTTAGGTGACATGTCTGGAAAAACTAGACAGGGAAAGATTAAGAGATGGGATCATTGCCATACACTATGTGTCTGCAACTTCACAAAGTTTTCTATGCCAGTCAATCACAGTATCAGGGCACGCTTCTTCCCTCCTTCCTTCTTCAAATCTCCTCATATCATTCAGGGTCTTGACTGACACGGAACAGTGGTCATGGGTTGCCATCTTGGACTAGCAAGATTTCCCTAGAGTTGAGGACAATTTCAGGTTTGCCCTGAAGTTTTACCTACCCATCACTGACAGACAGGAATTCATTCCTGAACATTCAACTGCTGAGTTAAAAGCCATTAAACAACAACAACAAAAATACCTTCAGTAATTTTAATAGAAAATCTATGATGCATTTATTCTAAATTAAGACATGCATAGAAAAATATATTAGTTGAACAATGAAAACAAGTCTATTGAAATAACAAACAACTTTCAAGATGTCAAAAATAGTTTGTTCATATAATGTAATGAAATGAAGGTTTCCTTTACTCACCAAAGAAATAAAGAAAGACTTGAGAGTGGGTGGGAATGATAGAGGAAAGGGGTGTGGGTGAATCATTCATTATAAAGTGAATTCTTCATTCTGTGCCATTTTCTGCATTAATGTTTCAACCTTTTGGGAGGTGGTGATTATCTTGCACTAAAATAAACTGCATTTAACAATAAAGTAGCACAGGGAAAAAAGAACTTCAGGGCAAAATAAATAAATTAAAAACACAGAGAAATAATGAGTGTTCATGGAAAACTAAAGCAGGGAGCTGCAAATGACCCACCTCCTGTTTTTTATAAATAAAGTTTTATTGGAACAAAGTCATGCCCATTCATTTATAGATTGTATATGACTGCATTTGTGCTATAAAGGCAAAGTTAGGTAGTTTTTGTCACAGAGACACTCTGGCCCTTTACAGGAAAAGTTTACTAAACCACAGGCTGATGTAAAAGATGCTACTCTTCTTCCCAAACACATGGCACACATATACAAAGCAAAATATTCATCTACACTGACATGAAACTCAAAATTGTTCCATTTAGTATTTGCAGAATAAAAACCACTGTGCCAGGGTAGTTAGTGCATGCATCTTTTGTCTGAAACTGTAATATTGAAACTACAGCATATTGTTTAGTATGTTTGGAAGCAAAAAAGTCATTTTTCTGGGGATAAAAGTAGGAAGACTGTCCAAAATTAAACCTTACAACTTCTCCAGGACTATAAAAATAAATCAATGAAAAGTCACTCTGCAAGATAAATTAATTGATCATCTGATCTATGCATCCACTCAAATATTTCAATTAAGAGCATCCAGGGGCTGGGGCTAGGGCTATAGCTCAGTGGCAGAGTACTTGCCTCGTATGTGTGAGGCACTGAGTTTGAGCTTAGCACCTCATAAAAATAAACAAATAAAATAAAGGCATGCTGTCCATCTACAACTACAAAAAATATTTTTTTCAAAGAGCATCCAGGAGTATCTTGGGCCTTAATAGGAATCAATCAGTAAATCATCTGAGGTTTCTTTGTTTCTTAAGTGCCTGGCTCTGGGCAAAGCCTTGTGAGAGAAAACCAAGAGGCCACGGTAGAGACTGTGGACTGGTCAACAAGATTCAGGCATGAAAATATGTGAACTCCTTGGAAACTTGGCCATGGAATGCCCCTAAAGCACCCAGACCTGGCCATTAAGGCAGCAAGTGTCCAGAGAAACAGAGATCTGAGTATTAGATTTGTTGGGAAGACTTCCAGAAAGAGAATCTGCAGAAATGGACAGCTTGAGGGCAGAACGGAAGGCTTCTAGATAGGTCAAACCACATCTTGAGACAGGATTTGCCTGGGCATTTACCCCTGTCCCTGTAGGTAAGATAATTTGTCCTGGGTTAAATGAATCCAGCAACTTCAACCCAAGCTGCCAACTGGCTGGGATGACAGCTCAAGCTGAATTTTTGTGCTAGACATGAATGCATCTGGTCATTAATTGGATGTGCAGAGTCTTCTGTTTCAAGCAGTAAAATCTCATGTGGGCCATAATTTCAGGGAGAGAGAAGGAAATGATTCAAATCCTGAAAAATGTTTTCATCCAGCCACTAGAAGGAGAAGAGGAGAGGCAAGAAAGAGGGAGAGAAGAGCTAATGATGAAATCTCTAATCTAAGGGCTGTGGTGGGCTTTGTTATTTGTTAGCTAGGCCCTTCAGACTAGTGGGGTTTAAATTCCAGGTCTTCCCCTAATGAAACACATTACTTACATTATATCTGATGTTTTTAAACATCTTTCTTAGGTAGATGTCCTTATCTCCTTTTACAGATAAGAAACCTGAAAGTTTGGAACTATTAAGTGATTTACTGAAGGTCACAAGGCTGATATTTATCTTAAGGCCAGAATGGTCTCAAATTTCAAACTCTGGTCTCTCTACCAGTTCCTTGATAAGTTTGTTTATCAGGTAATTAGTGAAGGTAGGTGTAGCAATTCAAAGTGACACTTGAACAGAGAAAAAGTGATAAAGTATGCTTCCTTTAATTCTCTTGTTTACAAGACTAATTATCAGGCTTTTATTTCCTTAACAGTTACAGAAGCCATCGTTTAATATGGAGGGAAAGGTTTTTCAGTTAAGGAACTAAAACAGCAGAATGTAAAATGTCTCCTGATTTGTTGCTACTTATAATTGAACATTAGGAAGGATGTATATATCTGAATGGGTATTTATTTATGTATTATTCATTTTTGAGCCAAAGGAAGATTTTATTTCTTGATTGTCTTATCTCCTTGGTTGTTTTAGTCAGCTTTATGTCACTGTGACCAAAAGATCTGACAAGAACAATGTAGAGGAGGAATAGTTGATTTTGGCTCACAGTTTCAGAGGTTCAGTCCATGGTCAGCTGGTTCCATCACTCTGGGCCCATGAAGGAAAGGCGTGGCAGAAAAAAAAAAAAAAAACAGCTCAGGACATGGCAAGAAGGAAGCAGAGAGAGGTTTCCACTCACCAAGGACAAAATATAAACCCAAAGAAACACCCCCAGTGACCTTCTTCCTCTAGTCATACCCTAGCTGCCTATAGTTATAGCCCAGTTACTTCATCAGTGGATCAATCCACTGATTAGGTTATGTCTCTCTTAATCTAATCTTTTTACCTCTGAAAATTCTTGCATTGTCTTACACATGAGCTTTTATGGGACACCTCATATCTAAACCTTACATCAATCATACATCTATTTCTTTATTACTCACTCACTTCATGTGTATCATCATCAGTCCTTACAGTAGTCCTACAATACAGAAATCTTTTGCTGTGTTCTACAGATAAGAATGCTAAAGCCAGCTAAGGATAAGCAATATTCCCAAGGTCATATGATGGGTAAATGACAGAACCCAGCTGGAACTCAACTCTGTCTGGCTCCTATTTTGAAATGTACATGGGATTTGTTTTAATTGAGTGTGACAAGATGACACACACAAAGACAGCCTTTGAAAGAAGAGTTTATTTACAGTTTCCAAGAGGAGGGTGTATGCCATGCTACACAGGGACACATGGGGATGCACTATGGTTAGCCAGCAGGCAGAGGGGTGAGAAAAAA